GTATGGGTGTTGTAGTGACCGTGCAGACTACTGGTTAGAAATGAACGTGTAGTACGGGTGTTGTAGTGACCGTGCAGTACTGGTGTTGTAATGAACGTGTAGTACGGGTGTAGTGACCGTGCAGTACTGGTGTTGTAATGAACGTGTAGTACGGGTGTTGTAGTGACCGTGCAGTACTGGTGTTGTAATGAACGTGTAGTACTGGTGTTGTAGTGAGCGTGTAGTAGTATATATAAGGATAAAATTACCTATAATACGTGGGATGTGATACGACTTTTCAACCTCTGTGTGGTTTAACGGATCGGGTTGGTTGGAGTTTTTTTTAGATCCCCACATGACACTTGCTATCCATGCCAAGTTTGGTCAGGGCGGCTCATCCGCTAGGCCACGGTAGGACGCCAAACTCCAGGAGGCTCCACATTGTCCCCAAAACCTTCTTCTTCCATCAATAGTTTATTATCGGTAAGTTCCATACTGTTTTTCACTACAACGGTACAGCAAAGTATATCTTTTTAGCATTAAACTGTTATTTTATTGTCTAATCATTCATATAACACCATCATCATCACTAATTACATCATCATCACCATCCACATCATCACTACATATAACATCATCCATCATCATATATAACACCATCCATCATCACTACATATAACACCATCCATCATCACTACAGATCGGTAAAGTAGTTTCAGATTCTTGAGATATATATATATATATATATATATATATATATATAAATTATATGTAATTTAGCATTCTCTTATTTCTACGATATATTTGGAACTAAGACTTGAAAAACGAATCTTGTATCACTGATCATTCACTGACACGCCCCATATAATCACGTCCAATCACTGCTCTCGAATACTGTTATCTCTCTATGACGCTGGTCAATAATATGTGAGCATGTGTAGTAGCGCTCGATAAAACCAGTAGTGCAGACGCAAGCAAGCCACGTTACTGTCAGTCTTCACCTGTACTTCGCTCAGCCGCTCATGGTAGACCTGAAGCTCTCTAGACCTTTAACGATAAGGCTACAGTGTAGGGAAACAGTGTTTATCATTATAGGAATTTATATTTTATTATTAGCATATATATATATATATATATATATATATATATATATATATATATATATATATATATATATATATATATATATATATATATATATATATATATATATATATATATATATATATATATATATATAGGGTATGCTAAAATTCTGAATTTTGGAATGCATAGTACAAGCTTAGCAATATAATGTGAAAAACCAAAATTTTCACAATTTGATAATTTGTCAAGGTGATAATACAGTAATTTATGAATACCCTTTAAAATCGAACCGAACTGTTATTAGAGCGCATAGCGTAATGGAAAAGATTTCATATAAGATAATATGTAGCGTATTTGGCAATTTTAGATTAAAATTTTTTTACCTCGATTAGGTTCGGTAAGGAGTGTTGGGGTGGATTAATCAGGTTAATACAAATACACTGAATCATAGTTTGCATTTTATATAATGTAGGTTGTTGACATAATTATTTTTTAAGAACAAAACCTATGATACAGCATGGAAATTCTCTTCTGGAGCAGGAGCCGCAATGGCTAAATATAATATTAATCTCAATGTTTTAACTTTGAGATTAATATTATCACTGCTTCACCGATCATTATTTTCCCTTATATATTTTTACCCAGATCTCAATAACTATTTGGTTGATTTATGTGTTAACTTACGGTGCCCTGAAAGTGGCCAATCAACCATTACACGATGTTTGTGTTAGTTTTGAAACATATCGATGACGCGATTTTCAATCCATTTCCACAGAAGAACTTTATGAAGATGCCAGTCAAGTTTCAGCCAACATCTTTAGGTGAACGCGCCAGGTTTGTGAGTATGTGGGTGGGCGGGATGTCTCTCCGCGCCATTGCTCGAACTACGGGTGCCAGCTTATCTACCGTCTACAGATGGGTACGACGATGGCAAAGACAGGGTAATGTGAACAGAAAAAATAGTGAATATATATCTCGTAAAGGCTATGGATTATTTGGTCAAGTGGCCGCTCCTCCCAGATGGTCGCCTCAATCGCGCCCAGCCTCCTTCTCTGAGTGCTTGAAGATGCTTGCAGCAAAACAAAACACACGATCTGCCCTTAAATTTTTGATCAGCAGATCCTCAACCACGAAATGTTCTTGTGGGCGAGAGAAAATCAACTTATTCATTTCAGATCCAAACATCGTTTACGTCAATGGCTGCAATCCACAGTATGTGTTCTACATGAGGAGATATTACATTTAACGTTCACCTCTAAAATGACAGCAGCTTTTTCATTCAAGTTCAGTTTACAGGCTAAGATATATTAGTCTTATATGTATGTACGGTATCAATAAATGTGAAATTAAAGCATTATCTATATTTTTTACATCAACCTTTATATGTTGATAAATTTTTGCCAGTAATAAAAAAATAGCCAATTGACTTGGTGATTGTGTTGGACGAACAATGAAAGGAAACTGTGCTACTGTGAATGTGAATGATATCGCCTCTTGACTGTCAACACTGAACCATGAATCACATCTTTAAAGAGTTTTTAGAACTAAACATAACCAGAGAAAGGTAACTTAGTGTACCGTTATAGAGTGTCTATCATAACTAACAGAAGTTTTTGTTTCATGTAGAAAACCAAGACTTTGAGTAAAATAAATGACTCTCAAAGACGCTGGCTATTGAAGCACAAATTTACAGGTATTATGACAAGCCACACAACCGTTCTATAAATTTTAGTTGAATGTCCATTGGTATCATTTAATTTTAAAGTGTGTGTGTGTGGGGGGGGGGTGAATCTCGTGTATACTTGTCCTTATGTTTATAAAAATCGAATGATTCTTATACAGTGTTTTCAAAGGAGCCTTGCAGTTTTTATTTCATTTTAATAATCTTAATTGTTTGCTACAACAGTATGACTGATTAAGTCCGTAAAACAAATACTGGGATATCTGGGAGAGAGAATCCCAAAATACTTTTTTACAGGTTCTTGAAATGTAAACTATTGAATTTGATTAATAAAAAGACCTAAGCATAATTGTGATCGGGAATGGCAAAATGAATACGATTCCGCGAAAACTAAAATTTTGGTGAAAAAAAAAGAAAGAAAATTAAGTTTGTGATAAGTTCCCAACATAACCAAGGTTTTCCATAGCATTGAACTTGAAGTCAATAACAAACAGTTTATTGAAAAAGATCGTTTTACAGAAGCAGCTTTATCATTTGTTGGCAGTAGATGCCTTAAAACTTGAAAGGATAAGATATCCATTTACTGCTAAACCTGCCGTTTTTTGTGACATTTTACCCAGAAACTCTTTCCCGGTTTTACTGCATGTTAAAAAGGAGTATATCAGATGTTTAGAAAAAAACATGAAAATTTCTTTAGTTTTAGTAACGTCATACTTGTTGAAAAACTTGGTTTTCTCCTGTCGGTGCCATGAAAACAAAGTATCGTTCTCAGAAGATAATTATAATACAAATTTGTTTTTTATAAGATCAAGTTTGGTTTTAGTGACGCAGTGGCAGTGTCTAGTTACTTTATTACATATAGTAATACTTTGGTGCTACATTAAGAATAGTAACTCTTTAACATATAGCTTTTAAGATTGATGAATAACTTCCTAGAAGTGGTCCTTAAAGTTAGATTCCCACCAACTTCACCACCCATTATCTGTATTTGCATCATCACGCACACAAACACACACACACACACACACACACACACACATATCCCTCTCATTAAATATATCAACTAATTACAAGCTAATAGCTAATGCTCATTAGTCTGTCAATACCAAATAATTGTAGTGTACTGACATTACTACCCAATATAACTAGAAAATCACCACGTATGTTTACATTAAACCAAGGAACAACGAGTGAAGAGAACATTACCTGTGTGTCTTGTTTAACTTACAAGCTAAGCTAATTACAAGTACAACCCAGAAGAGCTGTGCCGATTTCAGCTATCAACCAATCTACGACTGTATCAAAGGTGACACGCCGTGAGATTACCTGATATCTTACTCAACTGCATCAAAAGGTACCCGCGACGAACCTACACTCATTCAGGCAAGTGTTAACAAGTGAGATAGTTTGATATCCTATCACAACTAAAATACGGCAGCAAGGGAGGATTGGTATAATATTATCATTTGAGGTGTTTTGACTTGTTTGTAACCCTTACCCACCCTTCTGACTATAGCCCTGAGGGTTTTTTCTTCAGTTTGGGGTGAAGTCTTATCTACTAGATCATCATGGAGACTTTGATAGTTGTCAGGCTTGTAATCCTTGTACCAGTCATGGATGAAGTCTATGGAGTGGCTTTCATGTTCTTGCTTGACTGTGATTCAACTACTGTTCAGTTTACCGCCAGTAGGGTTGGCATTGGCTACATGTACTATACTAGCTTGGATTGGGTTGTGATCAGACATAAGATCACTGACTACATCAGAGCTATGAGTTGTGTCCGGAGAAGTGAAATAAGTCCCCTAACATTGGTGTTAGTGGTGGGGTCACGTAATATCTTATGTCTAATATTCAGGTCACCAATTAGGACAGTGAGAGATCTGTGGATTGAATCTGATCTGAGGGAGCATTGAATGTGGAGTTTCCCGGGTAGATAGTGATCCCATGGTAATGAAGGTTGGTGTTCTTTTTGGATGTATTAGTGACTTCTTATTATACAACAAACATGTGTGAGTAGAATTAGGTATCATAATACACATAACTTGGCAGACTGGGTGGGGGCTTACCATTAGGTGTGAGACCTCCTGCAGACACACAATATCAATGTCCTCAGTCACAACTTTGTGGTGGATGTCCGGGTTTCTTTTTCTATGGGCTGAGATGTTCCAACTCATCACCTTCACCTCTCTGTATCTCTGTCTGGTATTAACACTGACCATTATGAACTATATTTGGAAAGAAGCTGAATACACTATGATATTGTTTTGTTTTTTCCATGCTCTCTGTCCTTTCTGTTGGCAGGAGGCTTTTTAACTTTATTGAAACATTTTTGGAGCATGTACTGCTAACCAGTTTTTAAATTTCACTTGCAGACATCAAAACACTTAGGTCACGCTCGACATTACTATTTTCTGTATGTGTTTGTTCATTTTCACTGACTATGTCCACAGAGGCATCAGTAAAACTGTTAAAATTATCATTGTTTTCTCTGCAAAGACTACGAGTTCCTGGTGGATCTTGAGTTTTCACATTTGGTACTGATATTTGAATGATTTCAATTTGATTATAATTTTTCCATTGCTGCTGCTCTATGTTGGCGGTTTTCTGTTCTATAGTGCATTGCAGAGGCTCTTTAACATATAATTTTGATCTGCAAATTGAGCTTTGATTTCTTTCAAGTCATTTTTCAAATCATTGATCTCTTCATTTTGTGTGCGTTCACGGGGTATGTAGGCAGCTACTAGAAGTGTTTCTTGAGACCTGCCTGGGTGGCGGGTCTGCGTGTTGAAGGGGTGTAGGAGGTTTAGAACAGCCAAGGTGCTATACAGGAACTCCATCTGTTTTGCAGTTTATACACCTTTGTTGAATGGTTCCCCCTTGATCAACTGTATCTCTGCAAACCTGTGTTGTATGTTGTCGTGAACAGACACTACACTGCGGCTTGGTAGAGGTAGAGTGGCATACTCGGGCCACGTGGCCCCAGGGTTGATACTTGTAACACCTCCTGGTAGGAGGATGATAGAGAGTTAGTTACCTTCAGAGTCCGGGAGGCACCACGGGCTCGAAGGGTGGTAGGTCTCTCCGAGCCAACCCAGTCTGCAATCATTGCGTTCTTGCCCAAGAGTCGCTTCGTCTTTCTGATGTTGGGGTGAGCTTCTATTATTTCAGGGGTCTGGTACTGGTCGAGCCCTATGATTGAGATGGTTTTGTTGCTTCATGCTTGGGATTGTTGTTCCATAGTTATTCCCTCTATGTTATTGGTGAGGAGAGCCTGTATAGTTGCTGGGTTGTTTCCAAGCAGAACTTAATCTTTTGTATTGATTCTGAAATGAAACTCAGTGTCTGGGTATCTCCCTTCCACCTCGTTGAACCTTCGATATTTGACTTCAGGTGGAGTACCTACAGGGAAGTTTAATCTTACTTTCATGGCGGGTTGAGGTTGTAGTTATTGATCTCCAAGGTTTTCTGCCTTTGTTGCCTTCCTCTTGCTTATGGACTGCACTATTGGCAGTCATCCTTTCCATTGGTGTCAGGACCAAGGTCAATACCGTAGTCATCTAACTCACTCAGTGCCAAAATAGGGCTAGAGAGAGTAGCTAGGTCTCCAGTCAACTCAGGCATGGTGGAGTGACAGGACTCGACCCAATATAAGTGCATCAGAGAGCTAAGGTTTTTTCTGACACTCCTAAGAAGTAAGCGGTGGCTGGGAAGTGTATCCTCTCACGGTAGAAGGCAAACTGACATCTACAGCATATCAGCGATGTGAGGAGAGGTAAGGACTTATATGAGTGGGCCACCCAGGAGGGGAGGGAATGAGGGGTGTGGTGGCAAACCCGGTAATTCCAAAAAGGAAGCAGGAGTATTTTCAAATTATCAGTACTTTGAATACACTTGTTGTTCTTGCTCACTGGTATCTGTATTTTTCTGGATACATGAGGTATCAAAGTCAATTTCAATTTCAAAAGAACTATCCATGTGAGGCAGGTGTTTGTTTATACGTGGGACGCTGCACTGCAGGGCACAGTTACCTTTACAAACCCTCACCACAGAGCCTAACCCTCGCGTTAGTTCACTTGTTATACAGGCAACATATTTGCAGTTGTTGTCCTCTCAGTTAAGGTAATCCTTCAGGTGACTGTGTTAGGAAGGACACCTAATATTCAGTAACACACTGTGAGAATCCTGCTCCTCAAAAGCCAGTGTGTACTACCGTAATCATAAGATGATCATAGGTGGTTCACACATACAGCCTTCCTTCACACACGCTGAGGGGAATCTCAAAATGTGTGTGTGGGTGTGTGTCTGTGTGTGTGTAGACTTGTAACTTGTAAGGACTATGAGGAGTGGGACTTGCCAGTAGACCGTCCCACTTAAATTTGCTTTCAATTATTTAGAGCCCAGTTGTTATCAGTAAGATGACTTAGACTGTCGATAATTGATGTCTACCTGGGTTTCACGTTTTCCATAAAAGTGGGAAAATTATACACAACACTGGTGTGTATGTACAGTGTGATATTTACAAATCTTCTTTCAGCCATACAGTGAATTAGACGGGCCCAGTGATCTAGTAGTGAAGAGTTCTCGGTATTAGTCGTGCTAGAACTGAGGCAGGCTATTTGTTTAAGGCGAGCTCGTACTTAAATTGAATTGAAACAGTTTATTTAGCCAGAAAAACCAAGATACAGAGTGGATAATAATAACAATATTAACATGGCTGAGCCAGCTGAGAACCCGAGCTCTCTTTTAGGCACCAGATATATACTATACATTTATCTCAAAGAAGTATTATGTATCATTTAGTAACATCTGGAATAGTAAAATAGCATGGTGGTAATAAGAACATCTCATAATGTTACCACGGTTAACACTTCAATATTTATTTATTTTATTTATTTACTTATATTATTTCTTGATTTTTTTATATTATAAGTATAAATTACATTGGAATTGAAAAACATAAGTATAATGGGGAAGCAGTACAACATGGGTTGTACAGTATTAAGGTTGAACAAGAGGACAGAACTGTCAGGATTACGTCTAGTTAACAATTATGTTTATTAAAATGGTAATTTCTTATCTATTTACATGCTAATTTCCGATAAAACGGTTTTAATAGAACAGTAAAAGCAGGTACTGTAAATATAGTAGGTATTACAAGAAATATTAATAATTAGACAATAGATATTTTTTAAGAGATGATTTAAAGGAAGGGAGCGTAGTCTTTGCTCGGATGGGTGGGGGCAAGTTGTTCCACACCCTCACACTGATATTTTATGGAGGTCTGGGACTGAGAGGAGCGCATCGGGGTGGTCTTAGTAGCTCTGGGTGCCTTCAGTTGTATCTCTGATTATTCCGGAACTGGAAATAATTAATGTCAAGCAAGTAATTGATAGATTTGTAAACAAAGAGGGCACAGCAGTAGGTGCTAATATCTTCAAATTTTAATATTTTTAATTTAACAAATTTTTCGTTTGTGTTATCCGTTTTTTCAAGTAGGTTATTGTCCATACAACTCTCTTTTGTATAGTAACCAGAGATTGTGTGTTTGAAGAGTCAGAGGCCCCCCATAGTGTGTGACAGTGTATCGGGTGTTGGTAAACAAGATCATGATAGATTTCTTTCATTGCTGTGAGAGTGAGTGACTGTCTAGTGTGATACATGATACCGCACTGTTTATTGATTTTACTGTGAATGGCTTGTGTGTGGTTTCTCCAGTTAAGTTTCTCATCAACAATAACTCTGAGGAATTTAGTATTTTGTTCGCGTTTGAGAACAGTATTACCAAGGTACAGAGGGTAGTGGTCTGGGGGTAAGTTTTTCCTTCTGTGAAAGATCGTGTAGTGGGTTTTCTCACGTTTTAAGGTCAGTTTATTACGTATTACCCAGGTCCTGAATTTAGTCAATTCAGTGTTCATAGCTCTCATCAAGGAATGGAGGTCTGAGTTGCTGGCATAGAGATTACTATCGTCTGCAAATAAGTTGTATTTTATGAGTGTGCTGGCGTGGACTATGTCGTTTATGTACAACAAAAACAGTACTGGACCGAGAATGGAACCTTGGGGGACGTCATGCAAGATTGGCGAGGAGTCAGATTGGTGATTAATATAGCAGGCATACTGCATCCTGTTGGACAGATATGAGGTAAACCAATTGTGGGACAGGCCCCTAACGCTATAATGTTCAAGCTTTGAAAGGAGGATGGTATGGTCGACAGTATCGAAGGCTTTAGAGAGGTCGAAGAATATACGGATTGTGAACTGACTGTCATCAAAGGAATTTAAGATGTTATTAGTAAAGGATAGCAGAGCACTCTCAGTCGACCTTCTAGCTCTAAATCCAAACTGGGAGTCATTTAAAGATGTTATTGGCATTGTAGAAGGAATTTAGTCTATTACATGCTAGCTTCTCCAGTATCTTACTCAAGGATGGGAGGTCTGATATGGGGCGGTAATTCTTGAAGAGACCTTTGTCCCAGATTTTTTATATGCTTGGTGAACTTTAGCAATTTTCAGTTTATCAGGAAAGACACCACTAGTGAAGGAGGGGTTACAAATGTGTGGGAGAACAGGTAGTAATAAGTGGGCTACTTTCTTAATGATGCTCATTGGTATATTGTCTTCGCCTGCTGCTGCATATTTGGACATTTTCATGATGGCCAGTAATTCATCTGCTGAGTCAGGGGATAAGAACAGCTCATTTTGCTGTCTGTTCTGCAGGTAGGCTCTAAATTCCTCATGGTGATCAGGGATTCTCTCTGCAAGATTTTTGCCAACATTAATAAAATATTCATTGAAGTGGTTGCCAATGGGGGAGGGTTCCGTTATAACTGAATCATTTATCATAAAAGCTGAGTGGGGGGCCGAAGGCTGAGTGTTTCTGTTCTGAATAGAATTTATGACATTCCAGGTTTTCTTACTGTCGTCTGATGCTGACTGGAGCTTATTTGTATAATAGCTACGTCTGACATTTCTAACTGCTCGAGTTACTCTATTTCTGATACTTCAGTAAGCATCACCGAAAGTTATGGGTCTTTTTGCAAATTTCCTTTGGAGTTTGTGATTTTCTTTTATTATTATCTTAATTTCGCTTGTGATATAGGGTTTGGAAATGGATACAGTTTTCACTGACTTAGTCTTGAGCGGGAAGCATTTATCAAAGCAAGCATTGAAGATGCAAGAGAAGTAGCAGCTGTTCACGTTAGGGTTGTCGGAGGCATAGACAAGATCCCAGTTAGCATTCATTAGGTTGTTTTCAAAAAGGAGCATGTAGTCGGTGCAGCAGTCTAACTAAAAGGCTTGGCAATGCCACGCCCATAGAGAGTAGTTCCCACACTCTCCACTAGATTGATCTATGAATCAAGCTTCTAGAAGGTTCTTGAAGGAGGAAGTAGTCACCTCTGTGGAATGTCAAGCCGGCCACCAGTCAGCGGTGTTTACATTACGTGTATAAATAACCGGCTGAAAAATGTTCTCGCTGACCCTTGAATCACACTTAACTGGCGGTGCCATTATCTATATATTACTTATTTAACTATCTAAAATACTTGACACATTGCAAGTGTGAGCCAAAGTATATAAATTAACACATGTGAGCAATTAATGCAGTGTTCAAAGAATTACTTACTACTCAGAGGGAGGGTTCCATCATATTGCGACGCTCAGGTACTCATAACATTCGCGAGACTGAAGCTGAGTGTATAGTCTTATGCCAATGACTATAACCTATGAACAACATCTACCCTCAACACGTCATTGAATAATCAATGTTCATAATTAAACATCCATAATTGTAAGATATTAATTACTTACTCTAAATTATACAGTATGTAAATTATACTGGTTACTTGTGTGTGTGTGTGACTTCAAAAATTGTGTATCTGTATGTGTGTGTTTTTCTTTCTCTGTTTTATGTTTTATGCACATTTTCCGAACATGAAGAAACACAATTGATCATTGGGTGTATAAAATAATTTACCTTAAGCATTTTTTCTGTAATAGATATGTAAATGGTGAGGATGATGGTCAAGTTGTTGGTGGCGGTGACGATGGCTGCGGGTGTGTGTGCCGGGGTAACACAGCTATCACCACCTTATGGTAACCAGATAATTATAAATCTAATTATAAATAAATTTATACGTATGAATACACATGTATGTGCATAGTCAGTAATACACATCATATATATATTTCATGTAGATTCACAATGGAAACGCGGACAAGATAAATCTCGATAAAATCACACAGGAAAAGGGAAACAATGGAGTACCTTAGCTTTCGTCTTTATTCAAGACATCTTCAGAGGCAACGGAATTTACAGGGACTGAGAAAGGCTAACTTGGGCTGTTCTTAATTAACATATGAGAAATAGTTGAGTCATACTTAAAAACAATATTAATGTTGAATTATTTATGGGGTTGAACTAACGGGACAAATTCCAATATTTAAGGACATTTTGACTACCTTATCGCAATGAACTTGTCTCAAAAGTTCATTCCCTATTATTAAACAATATTGTTGTTTTAAAGTATGACTCAACTATTTCGAATATGTTAATTAAGAACAGCCCAACCTTGAATGTAAATTGAAGTGTTTACTACATTCCATGTAGTAATTATAATGAAAATTATGTAGGTCAGACTGGGAAAGCATTGCAACTAAGAATAAAACAGAACAGGTGTAATATTAGAAAAGCATCTGAAAGCTGTGCACTGTTCGTTCATATGGGGAACAATAATCATCCCATAGATTGGAAAAACGGTTTAGAAGTGTATAAATCAACATGTGTCACAGAAAGACTTCTGGTTGAAGTAAGTTTGATCAGGGAAATGAATTCTATAAACCTTAGTGATGGTCAGTACAAAACTGATATGTTACATAAATTTATTTATCGTGGCCCAAGGTTAAAAATGCTATGAAAGCATTTGAGGTAGATGTAGGGTAGATGATTAGTTAAGGTCTCACATTTTGTATTTGACTTGACATGACTTGATACGTCACCCGTTTTGATGAACTTTTCTTTCGTGTGTGGTGGAGGTGGTGTGTGGATCCCATGATCCTTATGTTTTGTAAGGTCACCCTTTGTATATAAGCCTCTTTCAGTCCTTGTAAATTCAGTCCAGTTGCCTCTGAAGATGTCTTGAATAAAAACTTTCCTGTGTGGTTTTATCGAGATCATATATATATATATATATATATATATATATATATATATATATATATGCAAGTAAATCACTGTAGGTGCGTGAGCTAGGTATATGCTGATAACCAAGGTTCACGGTGCCATCAGCTCGATGAACAGGCTTTGTGTGAAATATAACAGAGTCTAGAACTGCTTTTAGTGTCCTTGTGGCCTAGCCGGTAAGCGTTCCCTAGTCACACCCAGTAGGTCGAGGGTTCGATTCCTTGCTGGTGAGGTCGTTGATTATACATATATATATATATATATATATATATATATATATATATTTCATTAGCCCATTTCATGGCGGGTTGAGGTGTTGATTGTATGTAGAAGTCCGCATGCTTTATTGGGCTAATGAAATATATATGGATCCTCGTGTTTCGGAGCCGGATTTGGTAAAACGTTATTCTGACCACCTAAGTGATACGGGTAGTCCCCATTAGAGGTTCACGGCGCTATAAGCTCGTTGAACAGGCTTTGTGTGAAATATAACAAAGTCTAGGACTGCTTTTAGTATCCTGGTGGTCCAGCGGTTAGCGTTCCCCGGTCACAGTCATGGGCTAGTGGGCCGTGGGTTCGAATCATGGCGGGTTGAGGTGTTGATTGTATATATATATGATCTCGACAAAACCATACATCTACGTACTGCAACTGAGAGCTGGGAATTCAGATACTGACTATGACAGGATGGTAGAGAGCCCAGGGAGCCTGCAAGAGCTGGTAGTGGAATATATATATATATATATATATATATATATATATTTATATATATATATATGCTGATAACCACAAGGAAAGAAGAAAACACGAAGTTCCCAAGCGCTTTCGTGTAATTCACATTCCCTAGTTGGCAACATTTCTAACTCTAATATTAAGAATAATATGGATCTGGTTGATAAACTCAATAACTTACACATTAATTATTAATTTAAACTGGTCGGTTTTGATGAAACATCACTCTTTACAAAGGTCCCAGTTGATGATTTACTGGAGTTCCTCACAGATTCCCTGGATAATGTTTCATTGCCGGTCTCGAAAGATGACGTCAACGAACTCTTCAAACTATGAATTAAGGATTGTAAATTTGAGTTCAATGGAGAATATTATGCTAAAAAATTTGGTATGGCAATGGGTGATCCGCTTTCACAAGTATTAAGCAACTTATATATGGAACTGTTTGAGAAGAAACTATTAAGTAATATATTACCACCATAAGCAGTGTGGTTTAGATATGTACTGTAGATGGTGTAATATGTCTCTGACCATGTAATGAGGACCTAAAAGCTTTTCTACCACAATTTAAAAACTTAGCCCCTAGATCAAATTCACTGTGGAATTAGAGAATGACTGCAAAATTACCTTTCCTAGACTGTCTGATACACAGAATAGGTAAAACCTTTAAGTTCAGTATTTATAAGAAACCTACTAATGTGTGTTCATACATTCATTATTATTCTGCCCACCATAATAGAGTCAAACAGTCAGTAATTTCATCAACGTTTTTACGTGCTCTAAGAATATGCAGTCCGGAATTCATTGATGAGGAATATAAATATATTTATAATATTGGCTAGAACCTTATGTACCCTAGGTCTTTTATAGACAAATGCCTTAACATTACTAAGAAATCTTTTTATAGAACTGATCGTAAGCCAACCCATGACTACAAGAATCTCTTAGTATTACCATTTAACAACAAATTTTCTCAAATTCCTATACAACTGAAATCCTGGAACGTTAATGTGGCATAAAAACTCATGCACTGTAAAATAAATGTTAATTATGATCACCCCTAACAATGCAGGCGGCTGCATTTACAAGGTTCCTTGCAAGGAATGTAATATGTTCTACTTAGGTCAGACGGGTAAAGATCTTATAATTAGACTTGAACAGTATAAATATAGTGTTTGGACAGGCCAGGAATCCAATGCTCTGTTTGTTCATTTGAGGTATAATTAGCATTGCATCGACTGGGATAATGCCTCCTCAATATTACCTTGTAATTCAATTGTTAGTAGGAACATCATAGAATCAAGTCTCATTAAACATGCCGAATCGGTCAACATGAATTTGAGTAATGGCATGTACAAACTGGATAATTTCGTAATTAAGACGATTTGTAACCAGGTGAGAAGGTTTGGTCAGCTTACCCTCTGACCCGACTACCGACTGCTGTGGTGCTTTTTAAAGATTAGTAGGGTCATTACCTAATACCTGACCATTGTGGACCTGGTCTCACCCTCCTCTGTATATATATACCTTGTTTTGAACTTCTCCTTAGTCTGTACTCACCCCTGAAGATGTGAATTACACGAAAGCGCTTGGGAACCTCGTGTTTTCTTATTCCCTTGTGGTTATCAGCATATACCTGGATCACGCGCAACCACAGTGATTTACTTGCATATATATATATATATATATATATATATATATATATATATATATATATATATATATATATATATATATATATATATATATATATATATATATATATATGTATATATATAGATATATATGTACATATATATAGATATTTATATACATGTACATACATACATACATATACATACATACATGCATACATACATATTACATACATACATACATACATACATACATATATACATACATACATACATACATACATACATACATACATGCATACATACATGTACATACATACATACATACATACATACATACATACATACATACATACATACATACATACATACATATATATATATATATATCTTGATAAAATCACACGGGAAAAGGGAAACAATGGAGCACCTTAGCTTTCGTCTTTATTCAAGACATATATACCCATGACACGTAAAACGCCTGTGCCTTTATATAAATAGAAATTATGCATTTATATATGGAAGTTGAACGTGTCTTATGCATAATTTCTATCTCTCTGATAGTCCAACATGGTTTGGCATCATCAGTGGCAAAGGTGTTGGAGGCAGTGTTTGCAACAGTGACACAGAGTAGTTCCTCAGTGTTTCTCATCACGGACGGCAAAACTTCCGCCTTCACTGTGTTCACAGTAAGTATTGTTATATTATATAATATACAGTATTACCTCGCTCTTTTGAGCGTGTACTCTAGGTTAGTTTGTACACTAGACATCAACAACTACAAATTGAGAAAAAATACATCACTTGTTTTTGAATAAATGCATTGGCTAGTACAGTACTATTTTGCGAGACATTAGCTGTTTGATAGGAAATGTTTGGTGACCTGTTTCCTCATATGAAAAAAAAAAGAATTTAACAAAGATGAGAACGATTAATACAAGAAGGTTACCAACACTTTGTCATCAGGTTCATCATATATTATGTGATGTTATAAGGTGTTATGTGATGTTATGGTGTTATGTGATGTTATAAGGTGTTATGTGATGTTATGGTGTTATGTGATGTTATAAGGTGTTATGTGATGTTATAAGGTGTTATGTGATGTTATGTGATGTTATGGTGTTATGTGATGTTATATGGTGTTATGTGATGTTATATGGTGTTATGTGATGTTATATGGTGTTATGTGATGTTATATGGAGATAATGAAACATTTATTTTTATATTGAAACAGTTAATTTGCCAATAAAATACAGAGACAGAGTCGATATTATTAACAACATTAACATGGCTGACCCAATTGAGAGCCTGAGCTCTCTTAATTTATAATATAATGTTTTTGGTGGAACAATAAAAGTAGAAATATAAAGTTGGTATTACAAAAAATATTAATACTTAGACAATAGATATATTTTAAGAGAAGATTTAAAGGAAGGGAGCACAGTCTTTGCTCGAATGGGTGGGGGTAAGTTTTTCTACACCTCCGCACCATGGCATTTTATGAAGGTCTGGGACTGAGAGTAGCGCATGGGGCTGGTCTTAGTAGCTCTTGGTGCCTTAACTTGTTTCTCTGATTATTTCTAAACTGGAAATAATTATTGTCAATCAAGTGATTGATAGATTTATAGATAAATAGGGCACAGCAGTAAGTGTTAATATCATCGAATTTTAGCATTTTCAATTTTGCAAATTGTTCATTAGTATATCAGTTTTTTCGAGGCGGTCATTGTCCGCACAACTCTCTTCTGTGCAGTGACCAGGGGTTGTGTTTTTGCAGAGCCAGAGGCTCCCCAAAGTGTTTGACAGTATCAATTGGTGATAAACAAGATCATAATAGATTTTTCATTGCTGCAAGAGTGAGTGACGAGTGTGATACAGGATACCGCACTGTTTACTGACTTTACTGTGAATGGCTTGTATGTAGTTTCTCCAGTCTAGTTTATCATCAACAGTAACCCCAAGGAATTTAGTATTTTGTTCATGTTTGAAGACTGTATTACCAAGGTACAGGGCGTCCAAATCTGTGGACAAGTTATTCCTTCTGTGAAAGATTGTGTATTGGTTTTTTTTTTTTAGGTTTAAGATCAGTTTATTACATATTACCCAGGTCCCGACTTTAGTTAATTCAGTGTTCAAAGTTCTCATCAAGGAATGGCATACAGATTACTATCGTCTGCAAATAAGTTACATTTGACGAGTGTGCTGCAGTCGCAACGACTACCTGTACAGTCACGACGGAGTACACTTGTCTCGTGAGGGGGTAAAGACGTTGTTTGCATCCCTGGAGCGTGAATTTGTCACTCCGAAGGTCACTCCAGTAGAGAGGTCAGGGGAAAGTGGGAGTAAAAAAACAAGCAGGTCTGGGAGTAAAATTAGTTTACTCAGGACAAGGGGTAAAACAGGACCAGGGAAGGGTAGGTTTAAATGTATGCTATACCAAACAGTAGGAACGTTAGGAAATAAAATAGACTTGCTGAGAGCGGTTGTATGTACCTAGAATGCGAACTTACGTCATAGCAATCACCAAACGGATGAATCTGGCGAGCAAAATTTTTTATCAAATTACCATAGAAAGGTACAACATTTTTCAAAGACAGGAAGGTTAGGAAGAGGTCGCACTCTTCGTCAAAGACCCGTGAAATGTTGTATTAATAATTCAATAAAGGGTGAAATAGGAACCGGAATCTGTGGAGTACGAAATCACCGGAAGGAAGAAAAATATTATAGAATGATTTACAGGCCCCAAGTCTTAGCAAAAGAAACGCTCAGCCCATATGGCAGGAAATGAGTAGGGCAGCAAAATATAACAACCTACGCATTATGGGGGATTTCAACTTCAGAAATATTGACTGGGACAACATTGTAGGCGACTATGAATCTGAAGACTTCCTAGACGCAGTACAGGAAAATTTTTTGAAACAACTAATTGCAGAACCTACTAGAGGTGACAATATATTAGACCTAGTATTAACAAATAAAGAAAATATTATCAGAGATATCACAGTAGGGGAAGAACTAGGTAACAGTGATCACAGAGAAATCAGGTTCACCCTAAATTGGGAAACGAAAAACAATGACAATATGGTCAGAGTCCCAAATTTTCGGTTGGCGGATTATCAGGGGTTAAGAAGGTACCTAGGTGAGGTCACCTGGGAACAGTCACGTCAGTCCCCAGTAGGAAGGGGTGAGGTCATAGATGACACAACAATTGATCATGACTAGTATACTACATAAAGCACAGGAACAAAATATACCATACAGACAAATTAGGTCAAATAAGAATGAGCCAAGGTGGATGACCAGAAAACTTAAACATGACATAGGAATAAAGAAAGGAATATATAAGAAATTAAAGGGAGGGGAGGAGCAGCTCAGAAATAGATATAATGAACAATCTAGGAATATTAAGAAAATTGTAAGGAAAGCCAAGAGAGACTATGAAATCAAAATAGCAAGAGAATCCAAGGCGAATCCCAAGGGATTTTTCCAGGTATATAGGACAAAGGTCAGGGACAAAGTTGGGCCTTTAAAGTCAGGGAGGGGAGAAGTGATAAATGGCAGTGAAAAAATAAGCAAAGCATTGAACAGCTACTTCTTTTCAGTTTTCACAGAAGAAATTTGAGATGAAATTCCAGAGGTGGAACTGATTTTTAAGGGAAAGGAAGAAGAGAAATTAAAGAATATCACTATCAGAAAAGAGGTTCTTAAGAAGATAAATAAACTGAAGAAAACAAAATCCCCTGGGCCGGATGAAATTTTCCCTCGAGTCTTAAAGAGTGTAGGGAACAGATTAGCGGACCCCTCGTAAACTTATTTACAAAATCATTAGACACTGGAGTTGTGCCAGACTTGTGGAAACAGGCAAATGTAGTACCCATATTCAAAAAGGGAGACAGAGCATCAGCATCAAATTACCGGCCGATCAGTTTGACGTCAGTAGTGGGGAAATTTCTAGAATCAATTATAGCAGATAGCATCCGATCGCATCTAGAGAAAAGCAAATTAATCTACGACTATGAACATGGGTTTACAAAAGGGAAAATCTTGTCTAACAAATCTGCTAACGTTTTTTAGGAAAGTCTTCGAGGTAGTAGATAATGACGAAAATTACGATGTTATTTACTTAGACTTTAACAAAGCCTTTGACAGAGTACCGCATCAGAGGCTTCTGAGAAAAATTAAGGCTCATGGTATCGAGGGGAAAGTTATAAATTGGATAAAATCATGGCTCACCGATAGAACGCAGAGGGTCAGCGTAGATGGTGTTAAATCTGAGTGGGGCCGTGTAACCAGTGGGGTTCCCCAGGATCAGTACTAGGCCCACTCTTGTTCATAATCTACATAAACGATCTAGATATTGGGATCAGCAGTGACATAAGCAAGTTTGCGGATGACACCAAAATAGGGCGGCAAATTAATTCAGGGCAGGATGCAAATGCATTACAGGAGGATCTAAATAAACTGCAGGGGTGGTCTGAAAAATGGCAAATGAAATTCAACACCAGCAAGTGCAGCATACTTAATATTGGAAGAACAAATACTTATAATGTATACAGCCTTAACAACATCAACCTAGAGAAGTCGACTTGTGAAAGAGACCTAGGGTACTTGTAAGCCCGGACCTACGGCCTAGAAAACAGTGCGTTAATGTTCGAAATAAGGCAAACAGAGTATTGGGTTTTATATCTAGAAGCGTAAGTAACAAGAGTGCAGAGGTCTTATTGCAACTATGTCTTGCGCTAGTCAGGCCGCACCTCGATTATGCGGTTCAGTTCTGGTGCCCCTATTATAGAATGGATATAAATTCACTAGAGTCGGTGCAGCGAAGACTGACAAAAATGATTCCGGGACTTAGAAACCTTCCATATCAGGATAGGCTAAAGAAAGTTAACTTGCATTCCCTAGAAAGACGAAGAGTGCGGGGAGATATGATAGAAGTATTTAAGTGGGTGAAAGGAATCAATAAAGGGGATATAGATGAAGTTCTTATAATATCCGAGCAGGATAGGACTCGGAGCAACGGATTCAAGTTGTATAAGTTTAGGTTTAGGAGGGAGATAGGATGAAACTGGTTCACAAATAGGGTGGTGGACGAGTGGAGCTAGCTTAGCAACTTTGTAGTAAGTGCGGGAACTCTGGAAAGTTTCAAAAGGAGGCTAGATAGATTTATGGATGATAGAGAGTGGTAGTAACTCTCGACAGGAGCTGCCTTGCACAGGCCAACCGGCCTATTGCAGACTCCTTATTTTCTTATGTTCTTATGTTATGTACAGCAAGAACAGCACAGGACCGAGAATGGAGCCTTAAGGGACCCCATACAAAATTGGTGAGGATTCAGATTGTTGATGGTTGTTGCAGACATACTCCTTCCTGCTAGAGAAATATGAGGCAAACCAATTGTGGGATGAGCCCCTGACGCCGTAGTGTTCAAACTTTGACAGGAGGAGGGTATGATCGACAGTACCAAAGACTTTAAAAAGGTACAGGAATATTCCAACTGTGAAACTGACTGTCGTCAAAGGAGTTTAAGATGTTAATAGTAAACGATAGCAAAGCACTCTCAGTTGACCTTTTAGCTTTAAATTCAAACTGAGAGTTTGTACGGATGTTATTGACACTATATGCTGGGTGAACTTTAGCAATTTTCAGTTTATCCGGAAAGACACCACTAGTGAAGTAGGAGTTACAAATGCGTAAGAGAATATGTAATAGGTGGGCTACTTTTTATTGATGCTCATTGGTATATTGTCGTCGCCTGCTGCTGCATCTTTGGACATTTTTATGATGGTCAATAATTCATCTGCCGTGACAGGGGATAAGAACAGCTCATTTGCTGTCTTTTTTGCAGACTGGCTCGATATTCCTCATGGTGATCAGGGATGCTCTCTGTAAGATTTTTGCCAACATTGATAAAATAATCATTGAAGTAGTTAGCAATAGGGGAGGGTTCCGTAACAACTATCATTTATCCCTAAAAGCTGAGTTTGGGGGAGAGGGGGGGGGGGCGTAGGTTGGTTGTTCCTGTTCTGAATAGAATTGATGAATACTCCAGGTTTTCTTACTGTTGCCCAATGCTGACCGGGTCTTATTTGTATAATACCGAAGTCTAGCATTTCTAACTGCTTGAATTACTCTATTTCTGATACTTCGGTAAGCATCGGCGAAAGTTATGAACATTTTTGCAAATTTTCTTTAGAGTTTGTGTTTTTCTTTTATCATTGCCTTGATTTCATTTGTAGTATAGAGTTTGGAGATAGATACAGTTTTCACTAACTTAGTCTTAAGAGGAAGCATTTATCAAGGCAAGCAATGAAGATGTTGCAGTAGATCACGTTAGGGTTGTTGGAGGCATAGACTTTACTTGTCCTTTCAGGTCCTGTGGCTGTTTTATACATGACAAAAACTGGAAAGTGATCTAAGATATTCTTATAAATAATTCCACTTGCAAGATTGTTAGGAGTGTTGTTAGTCCAAATATGATCTATCACAGTGGCAGAGGTGGCAGTTACTCTAGTGGGTTTGGTTATTTTGTTGAAGAAGAGCTTAGAATGACAGGTAGCAAGAGGGTCTATTACTGAGGTGTCCATCTCTGATTTTAGTAAATCAAGGTTGAAATCTCCTGTTATGTAGCAAAGTTTCCTCTCTGAACTTATGATAGAGATAAGCTCCCTACATTAGTGTAGAGGTCTTCTGTAGATTACTCCTACTAGGATATTTCGTGTGTCGTTACGTAATTCAGTAAAAACACTCTCTATGAACTTCTCCTGAACCTATAAATTATTTCTCACAGATGCGTTATACTTAACATCAAAATATAGTGCGACATCACCACTGTGTCGTGACGTATTGAGGCAGTGTCTAGTATAATTAGAGATGTTATATTAATGTTCAATATCGTTAGTGAGTTTGGTCTCACCGAACCCAAGTACATCAAATCTGTGGGCAATAGAAGCTATACACTGATCTAAAAAGTTATCCAAGTGAAGGGGAATACTATTGGTGTTAAGGCTAATTAAGGTGAAGGAATGAGATAGTAGAATACTAGAGCTAAACTTAGGAGAGTCAGCAAAGTAATAGTTACAACTTGGGTTGGTGTAACCCAGTGAGTTTTGTGGAAAGGCATTAGGGTGAAGGGGGTGTAACACATACGGTCCAGTACATCTAAGGGGAGGGGGTACTTGTGGGCCTTGGGGGCTGGTACAGTGGGAGTGGGGTATCCACTTGCCCGAGAGTTCCTCATAACAAGGGTTTTATTGCTGAACGTCACGTGTTTCCCTCGTTTACTGGCTTCTTTAAACTTGTCCATTTGCTGTTGGCGGGCTTAAATCGTACCTGTCCATAGGTTCTCGTTGAAGAAGATAGTAGTGTCCTTTAGTTTAGTGCGCTGGTGGAAGACTTTTTCAAGGATAGAAGGGGAAGAGAATTTTGTTATGAAGTCTCGGGGGAGTTAGATGGCCCCACGAGATGAACACGGTAAAACACGACTTCAGTAGCTTCAAAATGTTCATTCAGCAGGCATCAAATTTTGTGCTGGGATGACACCCAGTTCTCATGAAGATCTTCTGGGACTTCGACAAACCTGAGGTTGTTTCGCCGCCCTTTATCAACATAATCCACCCGATCCGCTGGTGTTGCTAGTTCCGTCTTGAGCTTGGAGTTCTCCTCGCTTAGCTGATGAACTCGGGTTAATGAGCGACTGGTTCTCTTCAGCCTCAACGTTCAACTTTGCTTTTAAGTCACTTATTTCCTTGCAAGAATTCCAAGCTTGTTATAACTTGCTTCAGCTTTGTAGTGAGACGGTGGTCAGCCTCCTCTAGCTTCCGGGTGGTCTCCTTATTCATATGATGTATGATGTTCTAAACGAGAGTCCGTTGGATTTCCATTCTTACCTCAACCAGCTGTTGTTTCGCAATCTTTGTATTTGTGATATTGCAGCCAACTTAGACATATCGGAGCTAGTGAGGGGAGTGTAAGCTGGCAGTAGAAAGTCGGTCAAGCTGTGTGGTCAGCTGGGGTGGCCGGCCTGGTGGGAGGGTGGAGTGGTCACGACTGGACAAGGGCACGGATTACAAGCCATGGTACTGAGGGGAGGTTGGTGGGCCTAGCACACCTCACATGATGGTCACAAATTCACCAGTAAATTGACAAATATATCTACTTAGAGGTATCACAGGTAGATATTGTACTGGTCACTCACGAATCTGATTTTCTAGAAGTCAGACTGGGTACTCCCGGAATGACCCTGTTTTTTCGCCACATACACGTCCCACCCGGGATGGCACAAATGTTAAGTTCTTTTGCTATTGACATTATTTGAGGCTAAGTAATGAATGTTGTGCAGTACTTTGTGATAGGACGTGATATTACATGACGCAGTGAAATGCTTAAATGTTAGGAATTGTTATTTATAGCTATATTATTCTACCTATTACTGTGCGATTTCATGTGATGTCTCATTCATATCAGTTGTTAGACAATCTGCAGATACCTGGAGGCTATGGAGTTTTTGAGGCAACAGCAGAGGGTCCGGTTAACACAACGGAAAAGCAGTTTTCTCGGCTCATTGAGGATATCAAACAGGTTGGTCACTTGCACATTACTTCAGAGGGGAGTTATTATTTCTCGCGTTAATAGTTGATATGTATTGTACGTCATTATAAGGTTGTTTTGGGGAGTTTATATATCATTTACACATCAGTAGATAGGAGAAAAAGTAAACTGTGATACTACTAAGTCAATATTGTTACGGACAGTGAGCAATTAAGAAAACAAATATCTTAAGTTACTTTACTTTAACTTTAACTTTTATTTTAATCACAAAATCTAAATGATTTCTTTACCTGTGTGGGTCAAGGAGCATTTTGGTTGAAATGATTTAGTTATAATACCTTGTAAAACTCATGCCCAATTACGTAACAAGTGACATTCTGTTTGTATTGTTAACTTTTTTAATTATGTTTTACTGTAGGTTTAGTTGTTATAACATTACTTGGCTTAATTGAATATTTGATACCACACCCATGGTTGACATGACAACTCCCAACACTGAATAAATAGTAGAGCGCGAAAAATATGCAAATGATTTTTAAATAATATTCTAAAAACAAAATCAACACAAAACACATATATACAAGGGTGAAAAATAATATACTCAGCTATACTAATACACGTTACAAATAGATGGCCAGTAGATCCCGCGATGAACAGGCAGTGCAGGTAACAGTGGTCACACCACGACAGAGCCCTCAGGGAGAACAGGAGCCGATGGGGATGAGAGTGGAACTGCCGGTGACTTCTTGGTCAGAGCAGACATCACCTGTCATAGATGGCTCCCCAAAGGCCAGCGAGGTTTTCCACCAATCAGGAGCCATCTCCTGACTCGTGTTCTTACTAGTTGCCTTGGGTAACTAGTGGTTTGGTCGTGTGGAGTAAGACGTGCAGATTGTGGTGCCAGTGCAGTGTATTTACATGAAAGTGAGACCCTTCTATGTTATTATATCAACAGCTGCTACACGTATCTAGGCGTGTGACGGTGGTGGTAGTGAGCGATGACCCACTCTTTCTCGCCGCCTTCGCCGAGTGGTCCCTCAAGGGCCGCCTCCTGGTGTGGTCAACGAGGCTCCTCGCCGTCACCCGCCTGCCCCTCCCGGAGCTCCACCACCTATATAAGACCTTCTCTATGTGTAACTCCATGTTGTTAATCATGAACAACCACAAGCTGATTTTCAGGTGATGTAAAATGTAGCAAATAGGTTTCAACTGCAGCCAGTGATTCACTTGAAATTCTTTTTTGGCGAACATTAATTAATCGTCATGCACATCAATTATGTATTCAATAGAAAAGAGAAAATAATTATAACGTTCAATCGTAATTTAAATTATATTTATTTCCCTAAAACCTGTTGCATTCGATTGTATTTTGGACTGAAAGAAAACTTTATATGACCTAAAAAATTTGTAATTTAAAAAAAAAGTTTTTCCTGAGCAAAGTTGATGGTGCTTTTCATTTTTAAACATTATTTAATGGTATATTGAAGACGTTGACTCCCCTTAACCCCAGGTGTAATGTGTACCTCCATCTGCCATACAATCCTCAGGGAGCCCAGGCACTAAGAATTGCCTCTTGGACTCCCCATCGAGGCCTTACTCTTACCACCCACTACTCGCTCTTCCCTGACAAGTTCGACAAGTGAGTTTGACGAGAAAATTTGCAATATTGCAATTTTCTATGACCTTCCTACTGTTGTATTATTATGATAATGATTTTAGATTAATGGTTTTACGGCCAGTCTTTGTCATCTCCGACAGTCCTCTTTGTCAATTATGAAATTATCGTTCGGACTAAGTTGACCGAAGTGTTAAGATATTTTAGTTCAAGAACTACTGCATCCTGTACATCCCGATTTGTGTGTCTCTTGTCTCTAAGTGTTACTAATTTAACTCCCTTGAACAACATATCATATATGTAGACTAGAATGAATAATTATTCATTCTAGTTCATATCTGACAAATCTATTAACATTCTTTTCAACTGTTTTCGAATCAGTGGATGATGGACACTATTATGATGTGGTATATCTCGACTTTAGCAAAGCCTTCGATAAAGTCCCCCACGGAAGACAATAAAAAAACTGGAGGCTTAAGGAATTGGAGGAGACATTCTAAAATGGAATTCAGAGTAGTTACAAGACAGGAAACAGGGAGTAAGCATAAACGGCATTAAATCTTCCTGGTGTAACGTCAATAGTCGTATACCCCAAGGCTCAGTACTCGGATCATTAGTTTTCATTATATACATAAACGACATAGATGTAGGAGTAGAGTAACAACATAAGTAAATTTGCTGATGACACTAATATAGGGTATGTAATTAAATCGGGCGGGGACTTCGCAAAACTAAAGGAAGATCTAAAAAAAACCATTGTCTGAAAAATGGTTGATGAAATATAATTTGGACAAATGTAAAGTACTTAGTCTAGGAGATTTAAACAGAGAAACCAGATACCAGATGAACAACGAGAAACAACATCGAGAAATCCGACTGCCAGAAAATTTTCAAAATAATGATTAGAAGGAATCTTAAACTAATACAACGATGTGTATTTGCTCGAAATAAGGTTAACAATGTATTTGGGTTCATACAAATGAGTGTTAGCCACAGGACTAGCGAGGTCATCCTAAAACTGCATCTTGTGCTTGTGAGACCTCACTTGGATTGCGCAGTTCAGTTCTGATCACCATATTACAGAATGGATATGAAATAGCCCCTCACTCTACGTGAGGGCGATATGATCGAGGTGCATAAATGGAGGTTAGAGTTAAACAAAGGTGATATAAGAAAGATACTTAAATTATCCAACCGGGAGCGAACGCGTAGCAATGGTTTTAAATAAGGCAAATTTAGTTTTAGGCGCGAGATAGGTAAACATTGGTTTGGAAATAGAGTAGTGAATGATTGAAACATGTTACCAAACATCATCATTAACTCGAATGCGCTGGACAGCTTCAAATATAGGCCCGCTGCAGTTTCCTCTATTCTTATGTTCTCATGTTCTTATGTTATGAAATTCGTCAACCCCAGATCTTGACATTTCTATGATATACGACATCTTTGTTTTGTTAGGTTCCCGCAGAAGCCGACGCTGAAGGCGGCGACGGAGGTAAATCCAATTAATAAGATGATCACCTTAGACAACGATGAAGCACTTGAAGGAGAGAGGTTCAAGTTCACGGGTCCCGCCCCAGAGTTGATAGACTACCTCGCGAGGGCAATGAATTTCTCGTAAGTGTGGTCGTAAATTATCATCAACAAAATGGGAGTTTCAGTAATTTCACTTTTTATGAGAGTTCCCTACAGGCATAAATGCAGACATACACAGCACGCTCACAATAGTTATCATTCCTTTTTGTGTGAAACACCCTGACTTCTTATTAACAGTTACCAATACTTGCGGCCTGCGGATGGAACTTGGGGTGTTAAACTTGAGAACGGCTCCTGGTCAGGCATGGTGGGCATGTTGATGAGGCAGGTGGGTGTTTTGAAGCAACAAGACTCTGATACATTAAATTCTGTGATGTTCCTTATTCAGTTTCACCCATTTCTGTCACAAGAGAATTTGTTTTATTGCTGAAATTAGCGACCTGTTCATACCTTCAAAATAATACCTTTTGTCCATTTAAAGCAAAAAAGTAGCTATTTTCTAGACTGTAAGTGATTTAGTCGATTCCATCCTTTTTGGGAGGTCAACAACATAACTGTTGGTGAATTTATTGTTATATAATTATGAAAGTTCTCATTTGAGGCTGGATTAAGTGATTCTGTAACACGAGAAAAGTGGCATGCTACTCTTTTTTACGGTTCTCTCTGATCACCTGTAGGAAGTGAACATCGGCGTCGGCCCTTTCATTATTAGTGGATCCCGAGCTGAGGCGATGGACTTTACTGTGCCAATATTTTTGGACTATTGGAGGATCCTGGGTGCTCGAGGGCAGCCGGAGGTAGATCCGTGGGGATTTATACTGCCCCTGGCGCCGCTGGTGTGGTTAGCCATCCTGTCTGCCCTGCTCCTGCTGCCTGCTACAGTATTTCTTATGTCTTCGTACTTTTTTCACAAGAGAGAAAACCAAAAGAACTTGTTACGGGTCATCTTCGACTACATCCGTGTATTGTTACAACAGGGTACGACTTATTTCCACTAATCACATTGGCATATACTGTGATAAAGATACTATGCTGACTTAAGAAAAAAAAACCTAGTGCTGTTTTAGTTGTCAGACGACATAAAAATGATAATATAGTTAGTGGAGCTCAGTGTTTGATAAATGAACTCTAAAAACAAGAATTTTTCCCTGCAAATTCTCTCTCCACAGACGTTCTGGATCCAGTAAATTGTTGGTGGGAGAGTCTGGTTTTAGCTGTGTGGATGTTGATGATGCTGGTGTTAACGCGGAGCTACGCCGGCAACCTCATGTCCCTCCTGGCCGTGAGACACATCTCAGAACCTTACCAAACTCTCCAGGACTTGTTGGATGACCCGATGGTGACGATGATATGGGAGAAAGATTCTCAGTCTGTGCGCTATTTACATGTATGTTACGAGAGAGACTTGTTGTTTTCTGGGGGGGAAACACAGAAATATAGGTTGTTAGTAAATTCTCACTCTGGATACTGTTGTAGCTATGAAATGTAAATAAGTTCTGTTTAAACATCAAACATATCTCTAGAAATATATATTTATTATCCAATTTACTCTTAGGGAATGGACCTTTGTGCTATTTCTGTGTGCTATATACAACAAATTAGTTAAACAAGTGGAACTAGTTTCTTATTTATATGTCTCTTCTAATTTCTGGAAACACTTATTAGTCTGTCGAGTCTGGTATATACCGGGAGATCTCCGATACGGAAAAGGAAGGTCGCCTTATATATAAGACACACGAAGAGTTCCCAGAGACCATCGACACGCTGGTGAGACAAGGTGACCACGTCCTTATGGAGGTGGATATGGGTTTAAAGGCATATGTGGCTCGAGACTTTACAAGAACAGGTACTCTCTCTCTCTCTCTCTCTCTCTCTCTCTCTCTGTATATATATTATGAAACTACGCTTTCCACGTAACAAGTCCATTGCTGTATATATATATATATATATATATATATATATATATATATATATATATATATATATATATATATATATATATATATATATATATATATATATATATATATATATATATATATATATATATATATATATATATATATATATATATATATATATATATATATATATATATATATATATATATATATGCTGATAACCACAAGGAAAAAGAAAACTTCGTGTTTTCTTTTTACTTGTGGTTATCAGCATATACCTGGATCACGCGCACCTACAGTGATTTATTTGCGCCCATGGCGCGGCGTTTGAAATTACACTGAATTTCTAAATATTATGTATATATATATATATGTAACCGGTCGGAATTTACTGGACTTTATTTTCTCACTTGACTTGGGGTTTATTAAAGATTATTAGATGGTAATGGCAGTGAAAGCGCCCCTTTGAGAAAAATCCCGAACCAGCACAAGAACACTTAAATCTACTAAACAAAATGAATTGTCCGTGACCCGTGGAAGGATAGCGTCTGTGACTGGGATGAATGAGACACACTGTAAAATTTAGACACTTATATTCCCTCCAACACTACAAACACAATCAATTAATGGTACACCAATATGCGCACCTCTTAACTTGAACTAAAACACTACTCTGGGGAATAAAAGTTATACATGATATAGAAATTATAAAGAAAAATTAAATGCATTAAAAGAATCAAATCACAGTATCACTCTGGTTCCACTTAGTGACACAAACATTCAAAAACAATACTATCAAAATTGTTTAAGAAATATTAAACTACACACGTCACGATAATATCAGTAACTGAGAAATGGTATCAACTACACCCAAATATATTGTCACTATTATTGGTTTGTTACTGGGTCCACCAATACCCGTGAACCATGCTCCACCCAACTCAACATACACCCGTAATAAGGGAGATAAAATGTTCCTCTAGGTATCCCCTAGACTCATGGTCTCAGTGTGCGACCCTGTATCACTCAGCTGGCCTCACTTTACCCCCAGTACATCCATAAAGCGGAAGGGAGTGAGCCAATCAGACCTTGTACAGTTGAGAGAAGCTTTAGCTTCCCGTTAGCAAGAGGGTTTCACTAAGCTGCTCGAGACATGTGGGGTTGTGAGCCGAGGTAGAGGAGAGCTGATGCCCCAACGATCGTCCCGTCGTCAGCTGGGCACCCAGACGGCTAGATTCCCTCAAGAGATCCTTTGATACCCCGCTAAACAGTGACAGGCCTACACTGATCGGTCCAATGGCGACATTCGCCACCCTCAATCATCAACGGCAGTCTCAAACGGCAGTCAATCTCTCTCAGTCAAACTCCGGTCAACTCCGGTCAAGTGGGTTCTGGCGGAAACCCTGAAATGAATTCACTGTTAGCTCTAGTTTACTTTACCACTGCCCTATCTAACCCTGTCTGAGATCGAATGAGACTTACTTGTTATACTGCAATAGTGCAACACAGGTGACTAGGCCACGTGACTATTTCTGTGACGGACGCGCAGGGACGTCTTGTTTGTCTGAATGCTCCCCGTGACTGAGAGAGAGCCCGCCTCGTGTCCTCTCAAGGCGTTAGCTTAGGCCTACGTGACATATTTTCCGCCTAACTAATAACTCCTTGGGACACCCGTAACATTATTCAGACTGATAAACGATCTATAATAATTTCAAATTCAATAATAGTCCCTTAACTTCATGAATCGCATCATTATTAATTCGGCAAATTACATTTAATATCATATAGGCCTAGTTCCACAAACTCCCACTATGTGCGGGGAGCGCTCTCTTCCCTCAGACGACCTTGAACGCTCAGTATCGCTAATGGCGGGGCATTTGAAACTACTCTGAAATTTCTGAATATTACAATCGACCCCCCTAAAAAAAGACAGCACTGTCCTCATGTGCTGAGAAAACATACATACGACCCCCCTAAAAATTTGTTCTAAGAAACTGCATCTTACCCCTTTTGCTAAATGCAGCATTCCCGTCTTCTCCACTTCTCTCTCCCGCTAACATTCGACCCCCCCAAAAAATACAGCACTGTCCTCATGTGCTGAGAGAACAACTTAGAAGCCACCTTCAACTCTGCGGTATTCCAACTCGCAGCCAGCAACTCCATTTCTTCCTAGCCCAACTCAAAACCAACCAGAACATCACGCTCCCCTTTTGCCTGGCCCTTAACTAGAGAACCAATGTCAAAATTAATACCAGCCCAAAACAAACATGCTCTCCTTTGGCCTGGCCCTTGAACTAAGAGAACCAATGTCAAACTTAATACCAGCCCAAAACAAACATGCTCTCCTTTGGCCTGGCCCTTGAACTAAGAGAACCAGTGTCAAAACAATACTCAGTCCATCTCAAACATGCTCTCCTTTGCCTGGCCCTTGAACTAAGAGGAACCATTGTCAAAACAATACTCAGTCCACGTCTACGAACCTCATGCCAGCAGACCAACCCTCTGACAATGTACCAGTCCATATTAGTGAGGCCCTGGACATTACAACCGTACTCTCAATCCCGCTCATGACAGCAACCACTACTCAACGCACATCTCTGACCTAACCATCTCTCCAATCCCCCTCTGCCCTACTCACAATTCCTCCAACTCACCCTCTACAACCTGCCTTTTCTCATTACCATGCACCCTAAACTGTAATTTGTCGGCTTCGTCTTTCAGTTGCAGGCTCGATCGACCTCTCTGAACTACTTCTCTTCATCTTGCTCATCTGGGGTGGGGGCTCCTCGTCTTCATCTTCAGATTCATCCATCGCTGGGTCTCCTGGATGCCTTAGGGTTGGAGCAGCCTTCAAGTTGCTCCGGGTTTCCACTCTCGCTTCCAGGTCTTCTCCCCCACTGGGCTCAATGCGATATAACCCAGGCCTTGGATTTAGGACCTCAACAATGTGCCATCTCGTATCAAACCAATGGTTTTGCAGCTTACACCGGCCTATTTTTACATTGTTCCTCAGCAAAACCTCCTGGCCCACTTCCCAGCTACTCTCGTGGGCTTTCTCTTCTCTTTTCCTTCTGTTTATTTCCTTACGTCTCCAAACATTGATCTCCACTGCTTTCTGTATATATATATATATATATATATATATATATATATATATATATATATATATATATATATATATATATATATATATATATATATATATATATATATATATATATATATATATATATATATATATATATATATATATATATAATTCAGCAATGGACTTGTTAAATGGAAAGTGTAGTTTCATAATAAGGAGGAGCACCAGGGAAAATAACACAAACATCTTGACTAAGTTGGGTTTCTTTCATTTCTAACGTTTCGAGAAATCATTTTCCATCATCAGAGTTTGAAAATAGGCAAAATGATTTAAAAATTACAGGTGAAATACAACAAAAACGAAGCATTTTTCTAAAATTTTCTTTCCGGAATTTTTTTAAAAGATAATTATAATTTAAATTCACTAAAAATGACGGAAGACCTACGTACAAAAGTAGAATCAGAAAAAAACTAAAACATACAGAGGTTATTACCTTTATTGGGTCGAGCCTTAGTGAGAAAACAAAAGCAATTCACAGGAACCTATATCAAAATGGACGACTTTACTTTATATTGACACACAGACCCACTCAGCTTCACCCTTTGAAACAAAGTTAAGAAATTTTTCAATGAATTCTATCCACAAATTTCTCTTAGACTAGTCTTCAAAACCCAGAGTTCAATTAAAAAATCTTTAAAACTAAAGACGCTATACCCATACACTTGCAATCCACTGTGTTTATCAATTTACGTGTGCTAGCTGTAGTGTAGCATATATAGATAAAACAAAAAAGCACTTGAAAACTCTTATCCATGAGCACTTGGGCTGTTCTGTCCAAAGAGGCAAATTAATCACACAACCACCACATTCGGCTCTCATTTAACCACGCCCACCAACATGACCACCCGTTTTCGCAATCTAATTTCTCAGTTCTTGGCAGGAGAAACTATGAGACGGACCTCCTCATTATGGAAGCCTTGTATCAGTATAAAGTAAAGCCATCCATTTGTGATATGGCTTCCTGTGAAGTGTTGTGTTTTTCACACAAAGGCTCGACTCAATTAAGGTAATACCCCCTGTATATTTTAGTTTTTTTCTGAGTTTTGTTTTGTACGTAGGTCTTCCGTCATTTTTAATGGTTTTAAAATTTTAGAATAACGTTTCGTTTTTATTGTATATTACCCGTAATTTGAAATTTTTTTGACTGTTTTCTAGGTTCTGAATATGGAAAATGATTTTCCGAAACATTAGTAATTAAAGAAACCTAAATTCGTCAAGATGTTTGTGCTTCCCGGTTTTTCTTCTTCATTATATATATATATATATATATATATATATATATATATATATATATATATATATATATATATATATATATATATATATATATATATATATATATATATATATATGCATGGTTGCCTACTAACGATAACTTCTAATTGGTGATAGACAATCAAGTAGACATTCATAATAAGACTTGTAAGCAAATAGATTCATAGAAAACTAATATAACAGTATATTATTGCTTGGTGTTAATTTCATATTTTTTTAACAGAGTATTCTAAAAGGTTTTATTTTTTTCTCGTTATACAGGAAAGTGCTCCTTCTATGAGTCCAGAGAGGGATTCCTGTCTCTCATGTTTGCTTTGGTCGGACCGAAAGCTAGTCCAATTGTTCCTGCCTTAAGTAAGAGGTACCACGATGTTGAGCTTCAGTTTAAAACAAAATAAAGTTTATAAGATTTAGAAATTATCACTTATGGTAAAGTCAATGCGTGTTTTCAGCCAAATCCTTTTCAACAAATTGCTACGAAAACAGACTAGGTGTCATTAATAATCTTGTCTTATAGAATCAAGGTCATATTTTCTCTCTTAATTTCTTTTTAAATAAAATACACACTGTGTGTGTGTGTGTGTGTGTGTGTGTGTGTGTGTGTGTGTGTGTGCATGTGTGTGTCTGTGTGTCTGTGTGTGTGCGTTAGTGTGCCACGCTGCCTTGTGGATTAACCTTGGGAGGTATAAGGCTACAGGAGTAAACTCAGAACAAAAACTCTGCAGTGGAGCCCTGCATCAGGCAGACATGCTTACAAAGCTACAACAAGACCCCAACGGTGGTATAGGCGGAAGATGTGACCACCAAGGGAACCCAACAACTACACCGGCGGAGGAAGGCAATGCATTATGAACAAGCTACTAAGGCTAAGCCAAGCAAATTGGACTATCGGAAAACCATTGCAACTTTCCTTCTCTCCAGTCGTTGCAACACTTGCACCACTGGATCAGGAAAAGGGAGAGCCAAGATGTGTGGTTGCAGTGCGTGTTTCTGCCTCACCACATAAATCAACTCACGTGCAGCCATCATCCAGCTCATCATACTCCTCCTCATCATGAACCCCTTTTACCCCAAAAGTCCTATGGCGACAGACGAGTGGCTAAAGGGACCGGCAGAGATGACTACCGGGAGTCTCTAGTCACAACTCTGCACATGGGCGGCACAGACAAGATGGTCGTTTATGCACTAGGATCTAGGCAAAAGTGCAATCCGGTCCTGTCTGTGCGACTGAGCAGCCCTTTCAAGGAGCCACCTTGCTCACCCCACATGGGGAGGGGGCTAGAAAAGGTACCCTAAACATAGCCTGCCTATACAACCAATCTGACTGGGCAACCACACCCAGTAACGTCATCCTTATGCGGTCGAAAACACAATTATAATCACTGATCCAAGCAAAAACAAACTATACAACCTCTTATGGTCGCTGCACAGAAAATCTGGACAATTCTGGATACTGGCAAAAATGCACGTCCTGAAAGAAGAACCGCCCTTGTGGCAAAAGAGCTAACTAGATATAACATCGACATAGCAGCCAGTAGTGAGTCCCGGCTCCCAGACGAAGGTCGACTCGCAGAACGGGGGTCTGACAATACCTTCTTCTGGAAAGGTAAGCCTGCTGCAGAGAGAAACGACATTTATGGAGTTGGCCTGCCATCCTCCAATGCATCGTACATAGGCTAACTGAAACGCCTCTTGGGATCAACGAGCGCCTCATGAAGCTCGGATTCCCACTGAATCATTCACATTGTGCCATTCTCATCAGTACATACGCCCCAACACTGGATGCAGAGGATGGCATCAAGGAGGCCTTTTATGCCGACCTCGACAGAGTGCTAACCTCTATCCCCAGAGTAGATAAGGTTGTGCTTCTAGGTGACTTCAACGCCAGAGTTGGTAGAGATGCTGACACTTGGCAGGGAATCATAGGGAGAAATGGACTAGGCAAGTAAAATCCCAACGGCCTACTCATCCTCAGCAAGTGTGTGGCACACAACCTCGCTTTCACTAATTCCATGTTTAGGGAGGCCGATAAGTTCCAGGGTTCGTGGCAGCACTCACTGGCATCTCATTGACTACATCATTGTCAGAGAGAGAGATCGACGAGATGTCCTCGTCACCCAAGCAAAACTGATAAAGTGCCAAATCGATCCCCTCACCTGGGAGACGATTAATCCATGCTGTAACGCTTGAAGGAGCACCACACGAGAAGTTGTCAATACTTTCAATTTAGCCCGACTGCATACCGAGGCAGACAAGCGCCAACGCCGGAAAGACACTACCCCCCCCCCCCCTCCGCAGTAAATGTAGCCCTCCACCCTTGCAACATCTGTGGACGACCCTGCCAGTCCCGTATCGGTCTCTCTAGTCACCTCATAGCTCACCAACAAAGGTGACATCCCTAATAACTCATATCATTGTATCAGAGCTGAATCGTCACACTCGATTCCAAGTAACAATAAAGTATTATTATTATTAGTAGTAGTGTATGTGTGTGTGTGTTACGTAATATAAAGCCATGTGATATAATGAGAAGCTATGATCTTAAGTTATGCAGCGTGAGATTATCTTTTGTTATGTAAGGATATCAGGGCCATGGCGACTGGGTTGGTAGTATACAAATATTTTGTTTTAGTCACTGGTTCGCACCCAATCTATCTCTGTTTCACTCAAATGTGAATGGGTACTGAATCTTAAGAAAGTAAAGGAAGTCAAGTCGAATACATTGACGAACACAGTGCGTTTGAATACCGAGAGAAAGGCTGCACTGCAGGCTTACAGAATCTGCAGTCTTCTTTAGGATATGCTGTAGAATGGTTGATGAGTGAGTCAGGGTCTTATCAAGAGGTTTCCTCCAGTGGTTCAACTTTTTTCACATATTACTACAAATGAAATAGATATATAACGTTTAGTTAGAAGACAAGAGAGTTATTACTGACAATGCTAATGGATACAGTAAATGATAGTGAGATCAAGTCCCTAGGGACAGCAGGTGTCCACCTTATTCAGGTCATAAGGTAGAGTGACTCAACCCTTTCACCAGGTTACACTTCTTGTTAATCACAAAATTATCCAGTTTGTACATGCCATTACTCAAATTCATGTTGACAGACTCGGTATGTTTAATGAGACTAGATTCTATAATGTTCCTACTAGCAATTGAATTGTAAGGTAAGATTGAGGAGGCATTAGCCCAGTCAGTGCTAGGCACTCACGACTCCTCCACTCCAGTATTTTGTTTTTAATGGTAATGTTGTGTTCTTCCTTGTTGTAACACATGTGCATATCTTTATATATTTACCTAGAGGATCTAAGCTTATGCTATTTTTTGTTTTTTACTCTGTATGGTTAAATTGAAGTTAAGGTTAATAGTTAATAACTCAATGATTAGGTGTCCAATCTATATTTGGTTTTCTCTCAGTGTTTTTAGTGATATATTTATTTATTATATTCATCATATTGATTTTTCGACGTTATTTTATTTACTTTTATGTTTCGGTCATGTGATGACAAGAGATTTGTCTGAACGTTACCAAATATATACTGCTGTTTACATTAGTACAGTAATTCATCTTTAGTATGCGCTTCCCCCGAGGAGAGCCAATTGCATCAGTTACACTGTGTGCTTATAAATATATACTTACACACACACACACAAACACACATCATATATGTATATATATATATATATATATATATATATATATATATATATATATATATATATATATATATATATATATATATATATATATATATAGAAGGAAGAATGAGAAAACTATGTACGTACATAATTTTTCCTTATAATGTTCATGACTTTCCCCAACAGGATAACAGCCATGACGGAGGCGGGGTTATTTTTTTACTGGATGAAGTCCGCTGAACCAAACTCCACCGTGTGTTATCGCTCTCCCACCAAGATCACAGTCAAGACGACCCTCAATCTTACCAACGTCTGGGTAATGAGGCTCTTGTGTGTTCAAACTAGAAAAGCTTGCGGAAATGTTTCTTTATAATTACAATATAAATGATATCTGAATTAGAACAAAAGCACGAGCTGTGTACCCTAGTTGCTAATAGTCATTTTCTTACATTCCAGGGAATGTTTGTAATCCTCGCTGTTGGGCACATTATCAGCTTATGTGTGCTGTTTTATGAGCTTCTGGGCCTTCGTCTTCAACACAGAGTGGGACCAGTGGTGGAAATATTTCAGTAGTAAATATTACTGGATTTCGCATAATAAATAATATTCTTTTCGCAAAGAATCGTGCAATTTCAGTTCTATAATCTCGTTTGCAGAATGTATGAGTTAATTAATGTGTACTGTTCCTTTTTAAAACAAAGTACACGTAGCTATAGAGTCATTGGTAAGCATTAAAATGTACCCTCCACACCGGCAGCTCAAGGCTATCTACGTACAGTACAGCATGAGCTCAAGTAGTTGACCACAACAAAATAGTTAAGATGCTGCAGCATTAAAATTTAATCAATATGATATTATGCAGTATGTCAATATTTTGTTGACTCAACACAATAAATTATTAATAACTATAGCATTGTATTGTTCCTTGATATCACCACCATTGTAAAAATATGAAGTCTTTTGTATTAATAATTAGTAGTAATGAGTTGTATATATATACATATATATATATATATATATATATATATATATATATATATATATATATATATATATATATATATATATATATATATATATATATATATATATATTTCATGTAAATCCACAATGAAAACGTGGATAAGATAAATCTTGATAAATCACACGGAAAATGGAAACAACGGATTTAGCTTTCGTCTTTATTCAGTTGCCTCTGAAGATGTCTTGAATAAAGACGAAAGCTAAGGTTCGTTGTTTCCATTTTCCCGTGTGATTTTATCAAGATATATATATATATATATATATATATATATATATATATAATAATAATAATAATAATAATAATAATAATTAACGGTTTATTGAAGAGCTTGCAGCCAGCTGAAATGATAAATTTGGGGAATGGGTTTTGAATTACAAATAATATACAAGTGATATAAGTGACACAAATAAGACATATAGTAACTTAGATGGGGATCAGCTCAAACTACAGTTCATTTCAACATAGTGACAGTGTAGGGAGCAGTGTTTACTGGGAGTGAATACACTGATTTATTACATGTTATTGATAATTTTTACAATGGTTGGGACTGGGCTGTTCTTATAGCGATCAGTTCGTGCACGTATGGGCTGGATGCGGTTGTGGTGTCGAACAGCAATTCTCGGACAGGGGATCTCAGGTGGTAGTAGGGGCCGGTGTCGGGGATGGTGTAGAAGCTTCTTACCAAATTTGCAGATGAGGCCGTGGTGATGGTCAGTGAGAGTCGAAAGGGTCAGTGTGTTGAGCGCTTCTTGATATGTGGAGTAGGAAGGGGAGAGAATAATCTTGCATGCCCTCTTTTGCACTTTTTCTAGGTGTTTACGTTGTGTGGCATTTAGGGAGGAAGACCAGGTGGGGGAGGCATAGGTGAGCTTGGGAAGTATGAATGTTGTGTATACACTGAGGAGCTCGTGTGCGGGAACTCCGAGGGACTTGAGTCGGCGGAGGAGGTGGAGACGGAAACTGGAGGATTTGACAACTTCACTGACGTGTGGTTTCCAATTTAGTTTGTTGTCTATGGTGACGCCGAGGAGCTTCGTGGAATCTACAACCTGGAGTGTGTTCGGACCTAGGGTAATGGAAGGAGGTGGGACAATGTCGGAGGAGAGGTTGATGTGCATAACCATGGTCTTGGTATGGTTGATGGTGACATGGTTGTTGGTGGCCCAGTTTTGGAGACTGTTCAATAAATCCTGAAGGGCGGTATAGTTGGGGAGCAGAATTGTTGACGCTGATCCCAATGGTGGAGTCGTCGACATATTTCCAGCGAGCAGGGGTTTCTTTAGGCATCATTGATGAGCATAAGGTGTATGTGTGTGTGTGTGTGTGCGTGTGTGTGTGTGACCGGTCGGAATTCTCACACTACCTATTGGGGTTTTTGAGTTATAGTGGACGGTAATGCAGTGGAAGCGCCTCTCAGAGAATACCGAACCAGCACAAACACAATTAATAAAAGTATTTTCCGTGACCGTGGAATAGCTAGTACCTGTGATTGGGGTTAATGAGACGCACTGGTAAAAGATAACACTTTTATTCCTTCCAACACTACAGACGGAATCAATAATTGTACACAAGCACTAGAGTACTTCTTAGCGTGGCTTACAACACTACAAGGGGAAACAAAAGTTGTACATGGTAAAAAAAAAATATTAAAAGATATTAATTGCATCTGAAGAGGACTACTAATACACCAGTACTACCTACACCAGAGCAGACACCAGAACGAGGAACTCATCTGAAACAATTCCTTCTTGTATCCTACATCACTTAGTGGCACATAAAACATTAAAGGAATATTACTTGCACCGATGAACATGCTTTAAGGGCATCAGACAACATTGTAGCAATCACTGAGGAATAGAAATCCTGTTTTAGTCACACTACACAAGAACGTGGATCACTCATAGCCTGTCTGGGATGACCCACAAAATACTATAATCCTAACTGTCCTAACTATCCAGAACCCGAGGGTTGTAACTACTAACCTGCCAAGTGGCAGGCATTTACAAGAAACCGAGAAAATCACTCATGACCCGTCAGGCAGGCGGGTGCTCCGCTGTTTTTTCATTACTCTTTCTAGGTTCAGGAGTCATGAGTGTATTTCTCCACTAACACCCGTAACATGCTTCACACATAAGTTCAGAATGCACCCGTACTACAGTACAGTAAACAACAGACTGAATTGTGGTATCGAATTAAACAAACTGTAAGTGTTAATACAAAATAAACACATACACACACATGTTTGTATATATATATATATATATATATATATATATATATATATATATATATATATATATATATATATATATATATATATATATATAATATATATATATATATATATATATATATATATATATATATATATATATATATATATATATATATATATATATATGTGTGTGTATGTGTGTAATAATTAATCATATTTATTGATTCCCACTTGCGAAATAGTCGAGAACTCTAATTCGAAAATCGACACCGAACCAGAGAACGAGATCCCAAAAACTCGAAGTCGAAACCGATGCCGATCGCAATTTTAAAATCTATTTATTTGCCTGTAAAAACAATAGGATCTCTGTTCATGTAATTGTGATGTTTTGAACCGTTTTAGGATAAATAAACACGCTAAAGCCACCTAGAGGGTATGTGAGGTTAGGTTAGATTAGGTTAGTCTAGCGTTAGGGTAAGTAATCATTTGGTGAAATAAACACTGATTTATATATTCAAATGTTATCCTAAATTGTGAAAATATTTACCAACTATAATGGATGTGTATGGGTATCAACTGTTTTCAATTTCATAATATAATTATGAGTAATTAAATACAGCAGTCATGGACCCGCTACCTACTATCGTCGGTGTGGTTGTGTCGTATCTTTTGGTCAGGTCGCCACAACTGACTGTTTTCTCAGTCGCCATGTCCGATTGTGTCGGGCACCATACGCTTGTGTGGGGCAAGGTCATTCAAGACTTGCTTTTGGCAATACGATGTACCGGGCAGGGATACCAATATTTCCAAACCGGCTGTATGGCCTACTGTTACCAAAACCCCAGGTGTCGAGTACCGCAATAATATTTCACTCAAACACACACACAACAAATACACCAAAACTAAAACCAAACGTACATAAAAGTGCTAAGAGGATATTTATGGGATATATAAATTACTATTCTCTTTTGTTTGTGAGGTTTGTTTTGAAGGTTATATGTCATTCACCGGGTGTTGGCTACACTTGGATGGTCCACGGTTGGTGTACACCGAATCATCTGACACAACACCGATGCATGCTCATGATCAGCCGGGAATATTTCACACTTCTAAATAACTGACAATTTTGAATGTATATATGTATGTATATTACTGTGAACTTGAAGCTGAGAGAAGTGAACAGGATAAAGAATGTAGAGATTATTGAACATCCAGACCCCATACCCTGCCACATTATATACTGGAATGCCCATTGCTTAATGTATAGAGAAATGCCCAGATATATAATATCTCCAGGCAAGTAGAATGGATGCTTAAAAATAGGAAAACAGATGAAATATTAAAGAAATATAGAATTTTTTCTTCTAGAATATAACTGTATGTACTATAAGTGATTACATGAGACACATCTGTATTATGTGAGTCCTGAGAGGGACATCCCTGGACTGGGGTGGGTATGACTTAAGTCACTTCATCCCTTTGAGATGTATTTTTTATCTGTTTTTTTCCCAATAAACTTATTAATCAATCACCTGTTACTGGTGCCATGCAGAGTGAAGTGTCAGTCAGGTTAGGTCAGGTCAGGGCTGGAGCGGTTGCAGAAGCACCCTTGCCCACTAGCACAGACTATTCTAGTGCCCCATAGTTTTAAACACGTCCTTGGGTAATACAGCACACCAGAATCAGAATTTTATCATATCGTAATATTCAATGTGCGGTAATATACTGCATTTGGAGAGACGTGAGTTGATATAGGTCACCTTCCCAATAAAGTTGAAAATGACAAAGTTAATCCCCTCTAAAAATATTATCAACCTCTCCCAAATTCAGGTAGAGGTGAAGTAATTCTCAATATCCAAATCCAAATTTAACAAGTCGGCATTACCTCCAAACAGATCCAAATACTGTATCAATAAATAATTTTGTAGACTTGAAAGATCTCAAGCCAAATTCTGAGACCAAGGATATCTAAAACAGAGACTGAGACTTGAGAAAAAAGTTTCGAGACCGGTTTAAACCCTCCATCACTAGTTTACTAATTATGTAGAAGATGAAATAATATATTGCAGCATTTATATTGTTTTTTCAACTTACTGTGCTTCATTGATCGAATTAAAGTAATCTTAAGAGCGTTGTATTTTCCGACACACCCACTGTAACCTCTGCCCAATCACTGTCCCTCAACAGTGCCTTCCCTTAATGACGCTGACCAATGAGACGTGAGCAGATTGTGCGGCCCTCCAATAACTCTTGTGGTGTTGACCATCGTAACTCACTCTTCCTCCGCTCTTGGTTCCGGTGACAACAGACGTTGCCAGTCCACTATCACCAGTAACTGTAAGAGACTACTTTATTGTTCAATACTGTCCAATACATTTCCTTAATCTCAGTAGCAGAAGGTTGTAATATATTTACTGAAAATAGTGAAAGAGTGTAATAGATACTATGTAACACACAAATCCATATATATATATATGTATATATATATATATATATATATATATATATATATATATATATATATATATATATATATATATATATATATATATATATATAGATCCACAATGAAAACGTGGATAAGATAAATCTTGATAAAATCACACGGGAAAAACAACGGAGCACCTTAGCCTCTGAAGATGTCTCTTGAATAAAGACGAAAGCTAAGTTGTTTCCTCATATATATATATATATATATATATATATATATATATATATATATATATATATATATATATATATATATATATATATATATATATGACCTCCGCACTCTTATTACATACACTTCTAGATATAAAACCTGTTTGCCTTATTTCGAACATTAACGCACTGTTTTCTAGGCCGTAGGTCCGGGCTTACAAGTACCCCTAAGTCTCTTTCATAAGTCGGCTTCTCTAGGTTGCTGTTGTTAAGGCTGTATACATTGACAGTATTTTTTCTTCCAATATTAAGTACGCTGCACTTGCTGGTGTTGAATTTTATTTGCCACTTTTCAGACCACCCCTGCAGTTTATTTAAATCCTCTTGTAATGCATTTGCATCCTGCCCTGAATTAATCTGCCGCCGTATTTTGGTGTCAGTCACAATCTTGCTTATGTCACTGTTGATCCCAGTATCTAGATCGTTTATGTAGATTTTGAACCAGAGTGGGCCTAGTATTGACCCCTGGGAAACTCCACTGGTTACACAGCCCCACTCAAATTTAAAACCGTCTACGCTGACTCTCTATGTTCTATCAAAAGCCTCTGATGCGGTACTCTGTCAAATGCTTTGCTAAAGTCTAAGTAAATAACATTGTAATTTTTGTCATTATCTACTACCTCGTAGACTTTCCTAAAAAACGTCAGCAGATTTGTTAGATAAGAATTTCCTTTTGTAAATCCACATTGAGAGTCGTAGATTAATTTGTTTTTCTCATAATGGAACCAGATGCTATTTGCTACAATTGATTCAAGATATTTCCCCTCTACAGACGCTGATGCTCTGTCTCCCTTTTTGAATATAGATAATAGAAGTGCTTGTTTCCACAAATCTGGCACAACTCCCGTGTCTAATGATTTTGCAAAAAATTTACGGGGGGTCCGCTAATCTGTTCCATACACTCTTTCAAAACTAGAGGGAAAATTTCATCCGGCCCTGGGTATTTTGTCTTCTTTAATTTATTTATCGTCTTAAGAACATCCTCTTTTCTGATAGTGATATTCTTTAATTTCTCCTCTTCATTTCTCATAAATATCAGTTCCACCTCTGGCATTTACTCGTGAATTTCTTCTTTGAAAACTGATGAGAAGTAGCTGTTTAATGCTTTGCTTTTTCCTCACTATAATCGCTCACTTCCCCTCTCTTTGACTTTAAAGGCCCCACTTTGTCCTTGACCTTTGTCCTATATACCTGGAAAAATCCCTTGGGATTCGCCTTGGATTCTCTTGCTATCCCTATTTCATAGTCTCTCTTTGCCTTCCTTACATTTTTTCTTAACATTCCTAGATAGTTCATCATACCTATCTCTGAGATGATCCTCCTCCCCCCTTTAATTTCTTATAAATTCCTTTCTTTATTCCTGTCTTGTTTAAGTTTATTGATCATCCACCTTAGCTCATTCTTATTTGACCTAATTTTTCTGTATGGTATATTTTATTCCTGTGCTTTATGTAGTATACTTGTGAATGAATTATAGTCATGATCAATTGTTGTGTCACCTGTGACCTCACCCATTCCTACTGGGGACTGACCCGACTGTTCCCAGGTGACCTCACCTAGGTACCTTCTTAACCCCTCATAATCCGCCGATCGAAAGTCTGGGACGCGGACCATATTGTCATTTTTTTTCGTTTCCCCAATTTAGGGTGAATCTGATTTCTCTGTGTTCACTGTTCCTTAGTTCTTCCCCTATTGTATATCTCTGATAATATTTTCTGCATTTGTTAATACTAGGTCTAATATATTGTCACCTGTAGTAGGTTCTGTAATTAGTTGTTTTAAAAATTTGTCCTCTACTGCATCTAGGAAGTCTTCAGATTCATAGTCACCCATAATGTTGTCCCAGTCAATATTTCTGAAGCTGAAATCCCTAATAATGCACAGGTTGTTGTATCTGGCTGCCCTACTCATTTCCTGCCGTATGGGCTAAGCTGCTTCTTCCCAAAACTTGGAGGGCCTGTAAATCTCTCCCATAATTATTTTTTATCTTCTTTTCGCAATTTCTACCCACACACCCCTTATGGAATTATTAATACAAAATTTCAATGTATCCCTGACGAAGAGTGCGACCCCTCCCCTCTTCCTACCTTCCCTGTCCTTGTGAAAAAAGTTGTACCCTTCTATGTGGTACTCTGATAAAAAGTTCTTGCTCGCCAGATTCATCCAAGTTTCGGTGATTGCTATGACGTCTACATTCTTGGTACATACAACCGCTCTCAGCAAGTCTATTTTATTTCTAACGCTCCTACTGTTTGTATAGTATACAATTAAACCTACTCTTCCCTGGTCCTGTTTTACCCCTTGTCCTGAGTAACCAATTTTACTCACCAGGACCTGCTTCTTTTTTGACTCACACTTACCCTGACCTCTCTTTGCTGGCGAAACCCCCTTTTGGAGTGACAATTTCATGCTCCAGGGATGCAGACAACGTCTTTTCCCCCCGCCCGAGACAAGTGTACTCCGTCACGACTGTACAGGTAGTCGTTGCCATGTAATTATTGCCAGTTATCAATGAACGCCCAACCATTGCTTGCACAATGTTTTTCCAGCGGGCAATTTATAGCAATTACCCTGGAGAGCCATTCACCGCTAACTACTCTTCTAGGCAAGACACCACATACTATCGGGATCCCTCCCCTTTCTCTAACCTTCCATAGCGACTCCCTACACCTCTTGAAATGTTTCTCACTCCTAATCTTTCCTATGTCGTTTCCTCCCACACTAAGACACACTACTGGATTGGTACCCTCCCCTGACAAAACCCTATCTATCCTCTCAGCTACATGCCCTAGCCCAGCCCCAGGAAAACACACCCTAGTCCTACGTTTCCTATATCTTGCACAAAGTCCTATCTAAAAACCTCACCTGGCTGTCCCCAAGTACCACGACCTTACCACTGGGCAGGGTTTGAACAACTACACCGTCCTGCCTCTTCTCTTCCTCGCCAGCTTCCTCCAACACTTGGTAGGGGTTACTGCACTCCACACCCTGTTAAGCTTTCCTAAGTCTGACCCTAGTCCCCTTGGAGACAACCACTCTCCACCCCTGCTCCTACTGACCCTCCTTCGTAGGTGTCCTGCTAAGCAGGACATCCACCTTAAGGAGTTCAGTCCTGTGGCTTCGTTCTCCCCCTTTAGAGCGTCTATCTTTCTCCTCAACTGCTCCAGCTGTCTTAACAGAGTGGCCAGGGGGTCGTCTTTCCTCACAAGCTGTCCCTTTTCTCCCACAACGCAACGATTCACGGCGGCCATTTCCTATAGTCACTAACACGAGCACTTAGTGGCACCTATTTCTCCAAGCTAGGTCAGGTCGGTACTGACCTAAGTTACGTCGTTACTGAGGTAGGTCAGGTCAGTACTGAGCTAGGTCAGGTCGGTACTGAGCTAGGTCAGGTCGGTACTGAGCTAGGTCAGGTCGGTACTGAGCTAGGTCAGGTTGGTACTGAGCTAGGTCAGGTCGGTACTGAGCTAGGTCAGGTTGGTACTGAGCTAGGTCAGGTTGGTACTGAGCTAGGTCAGGTCGGCACTGAGCTAGGTCAGAAGCTTCTAGATTCAGGAGCTAGGTCAGTTTTCAGGTCTAGGTCAGGTCGGTACTGAAGAAGGTACTCAGGTTGAGCTAGGTCAGGCTAGGGTACTGAGCTAGGTCAGGTACTGAGCTAGGTCCAGCTAGGTCAGGTCGGTACTGAGCTAGGTCAGGTTGGTACTGAGCTAGGTCAGGTCGGTACTGAGCTAGGTCAGGTCGGTACTGAGCTAGGTCAGGTCGGTACTGAGCTAGGTCAGGTCGGTACTGAGCTAGGTCAGGTTGGTACTGAGCTAGGTCAGGTCGGTACTGAGCTAGGTCAGGTTGGTACTGAGCTAGGTATGGAGTAAACAATTGTAATGGTAATTATGTCGGTCAGACTGGGAAAGCATTGCAACTCAGAATTAAACGACACATGTACAATATTAGAACAACATCTGAAAGCAGTGCACTGTTCGTTCATATAAGGAACAATAATCATCCCATGGATTGGGAAAACAGTTTAAAAATTTATACATCATCATGTGTCACAGAAAGACTTCTTCTTGAATCAAGTTTGATTAGAGAATTGAATTCGGTAAACCTTAGTGATGGTCAGTACAAAACTGATAATATGTTACACAAATTTATTTGTCAGTGGCCCAAGGTTAAAACTGCTTTGAAAGCATTTGAGTTAGATGTAAGATAGATGATTAGTGGGTCCCATATTTTTTTACCTGACTTAACATAACTAATTACTTCGCCCTTTCTTCTAAGTTCCTCTTAAGTTTGCGGTGGTGTTGGTGTGTGGATTAGGGGATGTCATGTTTTTGACCTGACCTCATGTTTTATAAGGTCACCCTGTGATTTTATCAAGATATATAATATATATATATATATATATATATATATATATATATATATATATATATATATATATATATATATATATATATATATATATATATATATATATATCCCTTGATTTTTCTCTCCGTAAACTATTTGAAAATTCTGGGGTTATTTATAACTGTATTTGTAATAGTACAGAAAACGTTCATAATATTATTTTTCTAATAAGAGATACAGTGTCATGGTAAGGTCTTTGCTTTCAGTACACGGGGAATGACCATAAT